TGCTCATTAATTGTAATTTTACGGGTAGTAAAGGTTTTCCCCATATAAATGCCTTAACAAAGAGGTAACATTTACATCACAGTTGCCACTACAGTAGACCTCACATTTCTTTATACGATGACAAATGCGCAATCAACCTCGTTCAGAAGTCAGGAATCGATTCTAGACTTCTGCAAAATTATCCTTATTGTATTTCACATTTTCTGTCTTAATGGCAATAAAAGTTTTTAATCATTCTTTATCTAAGTATTTAAAAGTTTCATCTTTCAATTCTCTAGCAAGAGCGATCATAAGCAGTCGCTGCTAAAAGTAAGTGAAAAATCTGAATAACCGTTTAATTAGGAATGAGGGGAAATAAAGGGGTCGCATAATGAAAAATGTGCAAAACAATCACAGGTCTGCCTGTATGCTCCGACAATTTCCGATTAGAAGGTAGACAAATATCATGAATTATATTAAAGGTCAAAAGTTTTATCTTTACAATATAACACAGTGACGTTTATGACCAGGTTTCGACGCCCCAAGTCAGGTCGTTATGCATCACTGTGCTGTACTGCAAAAATGTTTTTGTTTAAAAACGTAGCTGATTTCGTACTGTCAAGTTAATTTGAATTCAGTGATCTCTTACTTTGTGCCACAATATGACGGCTTCAGAGAGGAGGCCACGCTGTGAATGTCAAAATCTACCATTCGTATTACTCGCATGTCAGAGGAGCCTGAAAATCAAATAATTCAACAAATGATCAGTACTTGTCGCATGAAAGAGCAGACCTTTCATAACTGAGAAAATAAACAGGATTTCGTCAACCTGAACGAATATAAGGCGGTTAGCTTCCGGTTGGCCACTGTGAAGTTTGCTTGCCGACAAGAGTGACTCAGCATGTGGAAGGTCGTTCTCGGGACACAAATGCACTAGATACTGGTGAATCCATGACAATTTGACCAAAACGGAGAGCGCTTCATCAACGTCGGTGACAGAGGCGACCAAACACTGAAATACAGTACTACCAGTTGTCAGACTCGTTGAAAGTACGACGTTTCAATTAAGATTTATTTACTTAAGAGTCTTCGTAAAACATGCATACATCTCTTCCAATGATAGGATATCAAAAATTAACACGAAAAAGCAGTTCGCTCTAAATAACAGTGAGACTTAAAAATGCTCAGTATAATGTGGAAATGGTCTCTCGTGCCTTGTATCAGTGGGTAGCAGTTCAACAGTCCTTGCATTTTTAGAGAATCGTCAACTTACCTTCTGCGTTGCAAGTCGCAACCACGCACGCATGACTCTGGCGCTGTTTTACTCAAAAGCAAATGAACAGTTAAATACATACATCAATAAATTCGACAAAAACGTTTCCAAGTAGAACGATGACACATGATGGAAGAGGGTGCATAGAAAAGTGAAAAAAATTGAAATAACTAATTAGAATATATGGATTAGGTTGATTTTTAGTCAGCTGCCGGATGGTTCAAAGCACATGTATTAGAGGAAATAGCCACATTTCTCGCACGCACTAGCAAAACACCACGCTGTCCGCCTTGTTCGTATGCCAACGACTTGCTACCTCCGTTTTTCGGCTGGTTACACTGGTGAAGTTGTGGTGAAATCCATACCCCAGTACATTAGCACTTAATAAGAAAATAACCTCTGCCAACAGGATCTGAACCCTGTACCTCCAGAGTGCAAATCACACTACTTACCTGCCCCTCATCGTCGCTCCGTCCCATAAACCGTCACGTGAGTACGGAATGATCAGACAACCGACCACAAAAACAAGGCATGTCGTGTGAAGAATGCGAACAGCGAGGTGACTTACCAAACAGAGTATACACAGCGTTTCCGCCAGGGTGAACACGGTCCGTCGAATGCCTGATGCCGGGTAATCGAAATGGCGACTGGATATGACCAAATCCAGCGCCGTTTTCAGCTCCGTTTTGGAATCCTACAAGCAGAATTCATTAGCTGATTGGCCAATTCCATTTGCACTGTTTTTTGCATGCTCATTAACCTTCTGAAATTTTGAACATGCTGGAACCTAAGCTTATAATTCTCCCGATATTAAACCACCTTTGCCTATTTGCAGCAACTTCTGGAGAAAACGGTACTAAGCTGGATCCCGGCAATCGGATAGAGGATGATGAATTCCATGCTGAGCGAGTGATATCGCATTACAGGATGCTGCATCATTCTTGATCTAGGAATCACCGAAAGGTGGAATACATCAAGCCGTAAATCCTAAGAAATGAAGGCTGGCAACTCAATGACGGAATGCATTTTGCCACATGGTTTATGATCACCATATTTACTTGTTCTTGATTATCGTCTTTTAGTCAGTTTAGCTGATATCCTTTCATCTTATTTAGGTCGAAATCCAAGATTGCCTCGTGATGCTGACTGGCAATAAGTTGAAAACACATTAGCAAATACATATACATACATAATCGACACGCGCATAGGCTAACATCTGCGCCATCACAGCTGAAATTTCAGATTCAGCTGGTTTGCAGGAAATACAGAGTCCACTGTACTGAACCTTTGACTAGAGAAAGTAAGAATTCGGCCATGATTCAGTTACTGGCCACTGAATCTGTTGATCCTGACGATCATTCAAACTCCTTGGAAGTAAATGACATAAACTTGTTCACCAATATTATATTTTCGCTTCCTTTCGCCTTGAAACATTTCTCTTACTTCTTCATCAGAAAATTACTGAGTACTAAGTCAGTCATTCAGTCTGCTTCAATGACCGCGTAATCTTTCAGGTTGCAGAAGCAGATGTGTCAGTGTCTCTGACGTTCCTGATCACTGCCAGCTTCGGCAGAAGATAACCGGGAACTGGAACAGTGTGTTGAGACACTGGTCCTAAGTCACTGCTGGCCGATCGGCTGAAAAAAGAGCAGCTGATACGATTTCATTTCTTGAAGCGTTCGCTAAATTACTCGAATCATCACAGTCTCGACCTCTGAACTTGGAGAAGCAACAGCTGTAAACTAAAGCTGTTGGATAACTGAACAAAGTCGATTAGTGTGAGCCAAGCAAGTCATCTCAGAAAGACCATTTTAGCCGCCGCTTATACCCGGGATAGACGTTTTTTATGGCCTCACGAGATTTTCATGGACCATAAATGAGCATTGGAATGAAGATCTACTTTAGTACAAACAGCTTAGTCTTCAGACTCAGCGCTGCATTAATCATAGCCGTGTGGGCTAGTTCACTAAGAACATAACTGGTTATTTCAATTTGTCGGGTCGATCTCTTTCATTTTTCATCACCAATAAACACGACTCCAAAGTACAGGAAATTCTCCACTTGTTCCATCGCTGCTCCATCCATCCACAAAGTACAACAGGCAGAAGAACAAGAGAACATTCAGATTTACGCTTCAAGTACGTTCACATGGCACCCTGCTGCGAACCTTTCTTGCGAGGCTGCAGATCAGTTACAGAAGATGCTAACGAAACAAGATCGTCTGCAAACAGTAAACTTATCGCCTACCTCAATATCTCCTACGTTGAAACACTCGTCGCCCTGGCTGCGTCTGACCATGCCATTCATGTACAACAAAAACAGGAGAGGGAACAGAACGCAATCTTGCCAGAGACCAGTGACAACGTTAGAAAATATTAAGACTTCATCAATATACACAAGACGCAAACCATTTTGGCACATGACCAATGATTCTGCTAATGTTAACACGATTATCAACTGCAAATACTATACAGTGGTATGATCATACAACATTGTCAAGGTGTAATCACAGTTACTTCATTCAAAAGTTAACTTAGAGACGAACTTCCTCACTGCTGTTCAGGACTTTACGTCTTGTCTAAATTAAGAACGCTGGTAATGTGGCCAGTTTCATGCCTAATGTAATATAAAATAGATCATAGTACCTCATTTATAAAGAAACCCACAGTGTCAAGTATCGATAAGCAATCGCTCCTACTCCCTCGTTTTCTTCAACCCCGATCGACTATTTTTCTTTTTTGTATATCATGACTTTCATTTCGTTTATGTAGTTTTACTCTTTATATTCTCTTTTTTCTTTCTCTTCCCATTCTGCTTATTCTTCGTTCTCTCCTTCTTTTTCTTATTCTACTCTCCTTTTCTCTAAGTCTTCTACTTCTCTTTCTTCTTCCACTTTCCCGTCTATTCAATTTTTCCCTTTCTCTCAGGTTCCTTATCCGGCTTTTTTCCGCTTCCACTCCATTTCTTCTACTCTTACTTTTACGTCTGCTGTTCCTAATTCGTTGAATTGTCCTGAACCAAAAATTGAAATAACCTGATTTACAATAAATCAAGGAAAGTCTAGAAAACTTGCCAAACACGGTACAAATCCTTACGTTCAAATTTCCAGACATCCAAAAGGCGACGCTGAGATACATTCGAATCTCCGCTTCAGACTGTGCATCGCCCGAGCGAATCGCTGACCGCAGCGCTTCCTCAAAGTTATCCACTGAACTTTCTAATGCGTTCGTGTCGAAGTCCAAAATTCCTGAAAATTTAGCCCGTCATAAATTCACCCTATATTTCAACAAATTTGCTGAGCATAAACAACCTGCGACACATTATTCCCTTTACTTGTTCATACCAGATTAAAATTGACATTTTTTTCTGAGCAACAAAGTCTTGGTCCGCCACACGATACAAATTCATCGTTTCGGTTCGTTCACAGATAAGATTATGCTAGGTCAGAGAAAACTATGAAAAAGTAAAATGAATAACTGAAAAACCCTATAATTCAAATATTAAAGATGTGCATCTAAACAAGTCTAGATTTATTTTGTCGTCGGCGCTTATGAACATATTAGATGGCGCACGTCATCTGACTCCTATCCAATCTCCCATGAAACAGCAATGATGCCGGTTCTTGATCTGAGATTAGAGGGAAGCACAACGCCAAGATACTGTGAGCAACCTGTTGAGTAAAGAATTTTCTTATCGAGGATATCATTTTCTTGTCCTCAAATTGACAGTTGCCTATTCCATATCAGTAATCGATATGCGTCTAACGTGGAAAAGAGGGCAAAATACCAGAAGGAAAATGTTTCGTAGCATAAATACTGCTCCTTCGTAGATTTTGTTGCTCATTTTTCAAATTGACAAGAATGCGCGTTATCTTAGAAAATATCAAAAGAGTAAACGTACGTGCAAATAAATCGCTTCATCAACTTTAAAAGTGACTATTTTATAGCATTAAAAAAATTTACTTATAATCGTCATGTTTTTTCCTTTGAATTATTTGAATCTAAATTTCTGTTCTCATTAACATCGTCATGGCGGGACCTGATTGTCACAATTACAGTAGAAGTTGACCAAAATATTTCTGTAATAAGTCTTGTATATTTATATACTTTCTACTTTTGTTGTTCAAATATATTAGATCTTTCTTGCGACTTCAAGAAAGGATCATGCGGTCTTAGAATCGAAAATCTGCAAATTCAGAATGGGTAACAGAAAGTTTAAATGTTGCAAACGAAAGGCCAACTGAAACGCTACAGGTTACAAGGCCAGTTAGCCTATGACTGTGCAACACCCGCTGTCAGAGAAAATTCGAGGGGATAAATTCTTGACATGATACTGTCCAAAATGTGCTTTATTTACAAGTGAGCTTATGTTGCAGCAGATTAAGCAGGTCGTACGCTCGCGTACGTCAAAAAACGAATGACTCCTACAAAACTAGATTCCACGGCGCACTGCACTACTCCACTGCTGGAAGCTGCCTATGGGGGCCTTTCAGCAGGTCATAGCTCCATGGTCTCTGAGCATCTAGAATGCCAAATGCATCTAGCATTTTATCTGCTGAAGCCATTTCGCATTCATCAAGAACTTTGTTTCAGGAGCTGGTATTCGTTATCTGCTACTGAATAAACACCATAAGCTGTTCGACGCCCGATCGAGTATATTTACCCCTCTCCATGCAACTAGGAGCAAGGGAGCGGTGCAACATGCCAAGAAATCTGGTTTTGGAGGAGTCTTACGTATTACGTCTTACTATTAATACCATGAATAATACTGTGATCACGATCAAATTTAAATGCTACGTATGGTGATTTGAAAGAGTTCCATGTGTGTGTCATAAATAAAGTGCTTTTTATACTACGAGACAGCTACATTTGAACGTTCTCAAATGATCACCAGCAGGAGAATCACCGCATCATCATCTTCATTATCTTTATCATTAACACTATCATTACCATGATCAGAATCAATGAATAATCTCATAATGAGGACTGTCATCATGACGATCATCATCATGAATATTCAGTATCAGGGTACCAGACGAAAGCAAAAATTATCATGGACATCCTAGTGCCCAAGTTGACTACATGATCAATTAAAGATTTAATTCATCTGGATTTACAAAGCGAATCGCACCGCCTCTTTTCTTCTAGCAGCTAGAGAGAATGATCATGTGAAGATGGCCATTATAATTGTCATCTACAATCGAGAATGAAAAACCACACCTCTTAATAAGTAAGTGGTCACATTGTGTTCAGACTCAGGTAGTCCATGCACGATGTTCGTCATTGCTTGACAGATGTCTCGGCATG